ATTCCTGGAGGGCCGTGGCTCTGCAGAGTATCACCTGCTTAATTGCAGACATCCCAAGTCTACCGGAAGTTCCGGGAGTCTCCCGCAAATGCAAACAGAGTCCCAGATGCCCACAAATGAATGACAATCTCCTGGAAATCGCGTGTCTCACGCCCAGTCTTTAAATACGTCGCACACACCCGAAGGTATGTCGGGCACAACTCAACCCCTACCGCTCTTCAGGTATGTCGCACACAACTCACCCCCACCGCTCTTCAGGTACATCATGCACGCATGCCCCCACCGCTTTTCAGATATGTCGCGCACCATCAACACCCCCCACCCCCACTCTACAGGCACCCACTCTCCCGCAACCTCCTACAAATCATCTCTGTCTCCCCCGAAAATGACTTTTCTCAACAGTGTTTGATCAAGGTTGGAGCAAAAATGTGCTGAGCTGTGGCCCTCCAGAAATCGAGTTTAAGGCCTATGCTTTATATCAGGGATGTCCAAACTCTATCCTGAAGGTCCGGTGTCCTGCAGATTTTAGCTCCAACTTGCTTCAACACCTGCAAGGATGTTTCTAGAAAGATTAGTAAGAGCTTGATTAGCTAGCCCAGGTGTGTCTGATTTGTGTTGGAACTAGGCTTGGGCGGTAATGCGGTAATATAGTATATCGTGGTATCTAAACATAGCAACAGTATCAGTTTCAATACCGTTATGTCGTCATAAAAACAATCCACCTTTATAGGAGACAAGAATTAAATATTAAATATAATTTATTTATTGGCTAAAGATGCGTATGTTTGGTCGTCATCACGGGACAGCATGGAGGAGAAAGAGAGAGCTGGGAAAAGATGGTGAGCCGCAGACCAAGTGACCTGGTCTCGAAAAAATAAAAAAGTTCTGCAGTTTGGCAGTATTTCAGGTTTGGACCAAACGAGAAGGGAGAGGCTGTAAATAGAGACGAGGCAATTTTCATATTGTGCAACAAAAAGGTGACCACGAGAGATGAAAATACCTTGAACCTAAAGTTGCATATACGAAACTATCATCCACTAACCGCTGCGAGGATGGACCCAGAGTTAACTCAGTGAAACAGTTTCATGCCTTCCGATGCAAGACCAACAACATCTAGGTCCACCACCAGTACGCAGCCGATGGTAATGGGGGCCTTCAGCAAAACAACAAAGTACAAAAGGCATAGTGTCAGTTGAAAACCCTGTACTAATGAATACTTGGCGTGGGAAATAGTCTCTTTCCACAAAGTGGAAAAAAATACAATTAAAAAATACAATTAATTTGTGTGCATGAAAACTGTTCTGGCCATTTATGTTAATTTAATTCTTTTTGACTGTTGTACTTGCTTTCCCAGAGATGGATTGCGGCTGGAAGGGCACCCGCTGCGTAAAAACTTGCTTGATAAGTTGGCGGTTCATTCCGCTGTGGCGACCCCGGATTAATAAAGGGACTAAGCCGACAAGAAAATGAATGAATGAATGACTGTGGTATTTGCACTTTTTAAATTTTTTTTCTGAACAGTTTAGGCACAAGCCAACAGTTTGGTTATGCTGTCTGAGTCTTATATAATAATTTTTTATTATTCACATTAATACCGTTTACCGAAATACAATAGGGAGAAGGTTTGACGGTATCAAAATTTGGTTACCGCCCAAGCCTAGTTGGCACTAAACATTGCAGGACACCGGCCCTCCAGAGTTTAGGCACCCCTGCTGCCAAAATGTTTCTGGCTTTTATATGGAGTTCTATGTAGTAAAATGGCATATAGGATTATATATGAGAGCTGAGCTGCTTATTTTGATTTTCTGAGACATATGAAGGTAAGTGTGCAAAGGTCTTTTATGCATGCATGCACACACACCATAACTCCAAATCCAGAAACTAATCTTTTTCACACTGCAACTAATCAACAGAAAAAAATACTAGTTTTACCTCTCCCCAACAAGGAAAACCTAAGTTGACATTTAAGCTATGGCCAAATTAAGACTCAAAATCATCCCAGAGTGGATGAAAACATCCCCATCAGCACACAAGGGTTAATATTTGTATAGCAGATGTGTTTTCATCTGCCATTTTTTTGCATTAACCTATTTTAGCACAAGTTTAAAACCACCTCAAATGAGTGTAAATCCTTTTTTTGTGAATTAAGAGACTTTTATTTGAAATTAAATATTTCTATTATTTGATGTACACGCGGTACCTTAAAATGCACACTGATAACATGTAATGGAAACGCAGATTGTGAGTAAAACCATCAGATACCATGCTATGACTGAATTGCACACAACTGGAAGATCAGCAATGGTCTATTAGGCCTTTTTCATTCCCATTATAAAAAAAGTGTTTCATTTAATTGAGTGGACTATTGCCAATCTGAATGGGTCAGTGCCATGCACCCTGCCCCTTAAGCAGCCTTTCACTAGTTTAAAGAGACACTTTGCTATAAAATTGATTTTCTGTGTGGTTGCACTTGTTTCCAGAGTTTTCCATTCACATTTCGATTTTAGATTAGAAATAAGAGTCGATATGGTCTTCACACCAATGCATGATCTAATCTCATCTCATTACACTCCTCTTTTCCTTCACACCCTCGACCGTTCTCTCCATCACATCTCTAATCTCCTCTCTCTCTCCTCTTCAAGGATACAGTGTGGAATTTTCCAAGCAGAAAGCAGCAATATGTGAGCAGTTACCCTATAATAGAGCTAAGGACACAATGGACGACTCAGGAGTGGAAAAATACAGAGATGGAGATGCACACAAACTTCACAACACAACCTGCACTGTCAACAGAACAAATGCACATTTCGCACAGACGACACGCAACCGTTCAACCCACATTTACCATCAGTCACGCCGTTTCTCCCCCAATACATCAACACGTTTATACAAAGCAGACTCCAAACAAGCATGACACAACAATAACATCTGCTATTTATAGCCTGACACCATTTGCCCCTAATATCCAATCTATGCATGGTGTTTTGATGAAGGAAAGTCTTGAGCACAGGTTATTCTACACGTTACAATAAGGTTTCATTAGGTAATGCATTTAATAACATGAAATAATTATGAACAATGCTTGCACAGCATAAATTAATTACAGTTCAACATTTATTAATAGATTATTTTTGTTTAAGTCATACTTAGCTGACCGTTACCAGTTTGTGAATATTAATGGACAGCCTTCACAAGTCAGCCCAGTAAAGTATGGGGTGCCTAAAGGATCAGTTTTAGGCCCTTTGCTGTTTACAATATACATACTACTCCTGGGAGACATTATTAGAAGAAATTTGCACAGCTTTCACTGCTATGCAGATGATACTCAATTGTATATTTCAACTAAACCTGAATGGATGTCTGAACTGTCTAAGCTAACGGAGTGTATAAAAGATGTTAAGAACTGGATGACCAACAATTTTCTTCTCTTAAACTCAGGCAAAACAGAATGATTACTTATTGGGCCTAAATCCTGTACACAGCAGATCTGACAACCCGACCTACAATTAGAGGCATACAAAGTTAGCGTTAGCTCTACTCTAAAAAATCTGAGTGTCATATTAGACAGCAACTTAACTTTTGAAAATCATATCTCCCATGTCACAAAAACTGCCTTCTTTCATCTGAGAAACATTGCTAAGTTACGAAGTATGCTATCCATCTCAGATGCAGAAAAGTTAGTTCATGCTTTTATGACTTCAAGGCTGGATTACTGTAATGCTCTGTTTGCTATCTGCCCAGCATCCTCTATTGATAAACTTCAATTAGTAAAAAATGCAGCTGCCAGAGTTTTTACCAGGTCTAGAAAATATGATCATATCACCCCGATTATATCATCCTTACACTGGCTGCCTGTTAAGTTTTGTATTGAATTTAAAATATTGCTTCTTACCTGTAAAGCTTTAAATAATTACTACTAGCTCCTGTTTATCTAACCGACCTTCTGTCTCACTACAATCCAAAACACTCTTTAAGATCTAAAAACTCATTGCTCCACCTAGAATAGCAAAGTCGAGTAAAGGAGGTTGAGACATCTCATTTATGGCTACTAAACTCTGGAATAGCCTTCCTGATAACGTCCGAGGCTCAGACACAATCTGGCAGTTCAAAACTAAATTAAAAACCTATCTTTTTAGTAAAGCATACACTTAGCGGTATGATACATGAATCTGCTCCACACAGGTTTCTTCATCTTTTTTATATACACTATGAACAGCAGCTACGCTACTTATTCTCTTTATTTTCTATTTCCACCTGGGGATACTCATCCCAAGGCCCTCAGACCACGCAGCGCCACTGATTTTATCCAAGACCAGCGACGAGATGATCCAAGGTTTCCATATCCTGGACCAAGCCGTATTCTGAGCAGCTACTGTGGTGGTCATGGAGGAGTGGAGAGCATAAGACTGATTCCTGTGACGCTCCAGGGACTGATGAGTCTTCGCTGAGGTCCAGCTTCCAGCCTCCGACACTCAGACTGCAGCTCTGCACAAGACGTTTGGCCAGTGGTGAAATGGTTGTGCGCATCTGAGCCTGGTTCTCTCAAGGTTTTTTTTCTTAATTTTCGCCAATTTGTGAAGTTTTTTTTTTTCCTCGCTGCTGTCGCCACTAGCTTGCATGGTTCGGGATCTGTAGAGCTGCGCATTAATGGATTGCTCTTCAGTGTTTGGAGTAGTGATCAGTAGTGATTATTAAACCACACTGAACTGAGCTTAAACTTTGAAAACTGAACCACACCGTTTCAATTTACTATGATCTTTTATGTGAAGCTGCTTTGACACATTCTACATTTTAAAAGCGCTATATAAGTAAAGGTGAATTGAATTGAATTATTAACATTCAAAGCCATGCTTGTTAATGTTAACATTAATGTGCAACATAAGGTCATTCTGAAAATGTAGCCCTATATACTCCTCTGAAGATTGTGAAATATGTAGCCAGAGGTACGTATGGCTGCATTTCATCTATAAAATGAACGCTATGGGGCGGTGTGACGCCATTCCATTTTAGCTGACCGCTTACCTCCATGTGGACGGCTTTTCCGCTGTTACCGATTTATCCAGTGGCTCGCTGTATATGTCGGCGGACTTGTGATGTGGAGCAGAGTTGACAGGGACGATGGGGTTCGAGTCTGGCAAAGAACGGTTCCAGAAAGCAGGTAAGACAAAAACAAAAGCCAAAAAATAAATAATAAACAAGTAAATAACAGGGTGAGAACGTAATAAAATATGAAAAAGTGGTAAAAATCAGGCTGCCGTGAGGGCTTTTTCTTTTTCTGGATTGCTTTTGAAAACACTGTTGGATTGGGTATAGGGAAGTGGGTGGGCAAGTTTACTGATCAATTGGGCTTAGAGAAGGAGGAGGGTCGATCGGTCAGCCAATTAGTCAATCGACAGTGGCCTCTGGTAGATTTACACGAGAAGAGCAGGTGCGTATGGCACTCGCCAGACAAAATTGAGATCTCAAAAAGTGTACAAAGCAGCCTCTGGTAGATTCACGAAAACACAACTGCAAAAAAAACATAGCTTCTGGGACGTATTTGGCACTCTCCAGAAATGTATATAGGGGTAGGTTTTTAGAATGAGCCTGGGTTGTTAATGCACCAGTTATGCATCAGAGTTAACTTAAACTAACAATAAATTACTTTATTAACATTCACATGAACAAATGCTGTAATTAATGTACTGTTCATTGTTTATGTTAGTGAATGCATTAATAACATGAACTAATACAACCTTATTGTAGCGTTACCATGTTAGGAAACTATTTCTTTGCCAGTTTTAAATTCAAAAGATGACTAAACTGTTAATTTGTTGAACATTTTATTAGATCCCTTAAACTTTAAATGCACTTCTATGCAAGCTTTACTGACAATACTGTTTGCAGTGTTATCAGCAGAGCATCTAGATTCGGCTCACGTTCCACATGCTCTCGGTCTGCTATTTTTGGAGAAGCAGTAAGAGCCACGAGTCTGTCAGCATCTGTGAGTGTGCAAAAATATTTAGAGGTCGGAGACCATTTGAACAAGCAGGCATTTCACTTATATATACACATTTATGAGTGATGATGTAAGGATAAGCAAAATGACAGATCATTGTGAGGATTATAAATTAAGTTATAATTAAGAATCATCATCTTCAATCCACTCATCAAATGCTGCAAACTATCCATGGATCCATATTACTCTATTAATAAAGCCTACAATTAAGACTGCCATTTATTATTTAGGTATAGTTATCTACAATTAAATATAAAACACGTAAACTGCAAATAAATATTTTTCATTAATAGCCAAGTCAAATTATGCAGTTATGTTTATATTGCAACTTGTAGTTGAAATGTAATTTACACAATGTCATTTTATAACGCGTCATCACAGATTAAAAAAAAATAATAATTAAAACATGACTCAAAGGTTAAGTAAAAACAAATATATATATATTTTTACAAGCGGTTTGATGTTTTTACACACTTAAAACACTGACTGTGCCATTACATGATGCAAGATGTTCAAATGTGTTTATTTTGTGCTATAACTAGTAGTAAAAACCATTGTCAGGGGTCTGTCAGTCTTGTTTATTTTTGTTTTGGTGACAGAACAAAACAAACAACAGGAGTGAGGCACTAAATGACCTGTACCTGCACATTAGTGAGCAGCAGACAGCCCACCCCGATGCTTTTCTCATCCTGGCAGGGGACTTTAACCATGCAGACCTAAAGAGTGTCGAGCAGAAATGTTCGACTATATGTGCGCTTAAGGACAGATAAACGTGACGTTGACGCACAATAACACTGCGACGTACAAGACGAAGAACACAAAAACACCGTTTTGTCGGGAGAGAGAGAAGCCGCAGCGTGTGCACGTGCCGCCATCTTGGATTTCTTGGTCACTTTATGCAGACACACCATACTACCTCCCAATATGTCACTGTCACTTTATCACAATTATCATGTTTACAAGTTCTTTTTTCACTATACTGTTCTTTATCTGCACAACTCTGGTTTACTTTGCACTCATTTGCTATATGCCCTTAATGTCACTGTATTGTTTACAATTTTTCTTACCTATGTATAATTTTTAGACCACATTTATGTGCAATGTATATACTGTAAATGTTCTTTTTCTTAAACTCTACTATTTTTTATATATATATATTTTATATTAATGTTAAGCACCTTGGGTCTGAGAGTAACGCAATTTCAATTCTCTATATGTCTTGTACATGTGGCTGAAATGACAATAAAGCTGACTTTGACTTGAGAGCTCTAATTCTGTTTCTGTCTTATCTGTGTTGAATGATCTGCTACACTTTTGTGTCTTTGTCTTTTGTAGTACACGTGTGATTTTAACCAAGTTCAAGTTTGTGCTTTTGTCTATGTGTTTTTGTTGTTTGTCCCTAGCATGGTTTTCGATTTCTCTCCACTTCTGTCTAGTTCGATTTGGTGCCAGGAACTGGACATCCACATTGCATCTTATGCTGTTGTGTAACACGTGCTTCATGCTTTGTTTTGTGTGAGCACAGTTTAAATGAGTTGTTCATGTTCTTGTTCTGTTTGATGTGAGCACATGGCTTTGTTTTGATTTTCTCAGTGCCATGTGCTCTCCTGTCTGTTGTCTGCTGCTGCCCCACCATGTGTGCCAAATCAAAAGTACCATTCTGAAAATGTTCAGTATAATTATGTGTGTTATATCACCAAATAGTGACAGTTAAAGTCAGAATTATTAGTCATCCTAAATTATCAGCCCGCTATATATTTATTTACCTATTTCTGTTTTTTAAACATTTCTAAACATAATGGTTCTAAGAACAAATTTTTAATAACTGATTTCTTTTATTTTGCCATGATGACAGTTCATAATATTTGACTAGATATTTTTTCTAGATACTAGTATTCAGCTTAAAGTGACATTTAAAGGCTTAACTATGTTAATTAGGCAAATTATTGTATAACGATGGTTTGTTCTGCAGACAATCGAGAAAATAAATAGCTTAAGGACTTTCCTTTTGCTCTAAGAGACTTTCCTTAGAAGTAAAAATATTATAGGAAAGAGTGAAAAGATTCTTTGGATTCATCTTCAATGATTACAGTCGAACCACACATCTTCAATGCCTCCCTCCATCATTTTACTTCAGACATGCCCAATAATGTTCATATCTGGTGACTGGGCTGGCCAATCCTGTAGCACCTCTACCTTCTTTGCTTTCAGAAACTTTGATGTGGAGGCTGAAGTATGAGAAGGAGCGATATCCTGTCGAAGAATTTGCCCTCTCCTGTAGTTTGTAATGTAATGAGCAGCACAAATGTCTCGATAACTCAGGCTGTTGATGTTGTCATCCACTTTGCAGATCTTTCGCACACCCCCATACTGAATGTAACCCCCATGATTTTTTTTCCTTCACCAAAATTGACAGATTTTTGTTAGAATCTTGAGTCCACACGAGTTCAAATAGGTCTTCTGCAGTATTTGTGATGAGTGGGATGCAGTTCAACAGATGTTTCATCTGAAAATTTTAGCCACTTTTCCAAATGAAGTCAAGTTATTATTTGTTGCTCTTACAACAGGGATCAACGACAAGATGTCAGGTAGTGTATATTCCAAAAAACTACTGTATGCATGTCTTTTTTGTGGAACAATTCATTAACATTGCAAATATATTTTGTGCTCTGCAAAATTTAAATTTTCCATATTTAGGAAACAATTTCATTAAAGGCAGTAAAAAAAAAATAAAGGATAAAAAGCACAAGTTAAAAAGTTTCAAATAATTTTGAAGGGACATCTAATTATTTGTATTTCTTCAGTGACTGTTTTTGTACTTTTATTATTGAGAGAGTAATAAAACAAGCTATATACATCGGAAAACATCATTAAAGTATCTAAAAAGTCATTCCGTTATAAGGTTTTGAGTCAGCATTTTTTAACTGTCCCAAACGAACGAGTGATATTCAGCAAACTATTCTGTGGTCTCCTGACAACATTACCATAAAGTATGTGCACTGCTGCAGTGTCACGCAGTGCTGACGCTGCCATTTGCTGCTTTATTGCTCAGCCTACACTGTATAATTGTGTGGGCGTGTCTGTGATTGGACTGTCATTGCACCTTCTAGGCGACTAGTGTTTGTGACGTCCGTGCAAATGTGAGAAGTGACGCAGTTCTAGCAGAGAGCCATGATTCAGACTGCAGGCTTTCTAGAAGAGGACAGAGGAGAATGGGAATCTTAGACAGCGATGCGACAACACCAAGCTGCAGTCCAACAGATAAACCCTGATCTCCCACACAGACACATGGTCATAAATTATCTGTTTCCATTACCTGAATAATCTGCCTGTTATAAAAATGACAGCAGGGTGAGCAATGATAACAAGTTTGGTTACTACAGGATTTTCATTCTTGTCCAAATCCTTTTCATCATTACTCTACTATATCTGCACATCACTTTGTTTCTTTACTTGTTTGGTCAATCCTCTAAAACATGAAAATAACACAGCAACCAAAGCAGGTCAAGTACTTCAGGCACACTTGCTTCAGGCTTCATGCTTTACAGAGCGCACGCTATTGACCTTTTACATGGATCACAATCTGTTGCATAACTTTCAGTGGTGGTGACCGACTAATACCAGAGATTAAAGAGACAGGACAACATCAAAGGAAGGGCACAAGGCACAAACTTTGTAAGGCTGAGAATAAATGTATGACAAGTGAGATTTTTAAATAATAAAAAACTTGTATGAAGGAAAAGTTTGAAGAAACCATTTGAAAATGCTCTGTCTGTCTGGGATTTATGTACACTGTTAAGGATTTTTTTTTGTAAATGACAGTATTTAACTGTAATATGAACTGTAGGACAGGGATTGCAGTATGTTACTGTATTTTAAAATCACATTTTAAATTACTGTATATTTTACAGTAAATATATACAGATAATTCTGTAAATCCTTTTACAGCAGGATAAATGGCGCTGTAAATGTAAATACTGTATTTTTGCTGTAATTTATTTTTGAGCTACAGCCACTAAAGCCCTCGTCAGATCACGATTAAACGACAAATGGGCATCATTTCGTCTGGTCTAACGTGGCATTTTTTACAACAAACAATACCATGGCTGCGACGCCTCACAACATCATTGCAG